CTTTACCACTGTCAAACTCAACTGAAGCAGCAATGTAAAAGCTAAGGCAGATCCAAGGCTTGGTATTTTGGGGCAGATGGCTAATTTCCTGAAAGCTTCTCCACTATCAACAAGGCTTGGCAGAAGAATGGAATACAGTTCAATTGCCTGGATGTATGCAGCTGCAACAACACTGAAGTAGCTCCACAACATCCAGGATAAAGCAGTCCCCTTGGTCAGAACACCATCCACTAGGCTTATCACATTTAGCCTTGACACCATTGACATATCTTGGACTGCAGTATGTACCATCTGCACTGCGACAGGTCATTGTGCCATCTTCAGAAGCATCTCCAAAACCATCAAACACAAACACCTAGGACCAAAGCAGGTTCATGAGAACAGCACTGTGACTATCAAATTCGTAAATACATCTCTACTCTTTCATCATCCCGGTCAAAAATCACTGAACCCAACAGCACTGAGAACAAATCCACCAATATAATGGCTACTAGGAATTAACAATAAATGTGAGTCATGCCAGTGACAAATGCCACTGACTTGTTGAGAAAATAAAGCCAAAGTATTCCCTTGAAACGTGTCCTTGCAATTATCTATTGAGACAAAAATATTTTTCTAACGTTCAAAATACTGGTTTCTAATACATTTTTTAACTAGCAGCACCAAGTCATAGTCATACAGCACAGAAACAGACTCTTTAGTCCAACCAGGCCATGCCGACCATAATTCCAAACAAAACTAGTCCCATGTAACAAACAATACGACAAATACTGTGCAGGCCATTTTCACAGAGCAGCAACAATGGTAGCAAGTGTGATAGATGCAGGCTACTGAAATATAAATAGGATGAAATATATCACTAAAGTTCTGAGGCACAAAAAGGTTTGCTATTGGTGCTCTATCCCTGCAGTGTTGTCATTAGAAAATAAAGCATTGCTGCCAAAGTTTGCTTCATGACACAACAGATCAATATTGCAATTCCAACTTCACAAAAAGGGATGGTTCCAGGGATGAGGAACTTCAGTTATGAGATTATGAAGACAGGTTGGAGAAGTTGGGACTGTATTCCTTGAAAAAGGTTCAGCTGAGACAAGGTCTGAAGTATTCAAAATCATGAGATAGCTGGACAGAGTAAATAGGAAGAAAATATCCATCTTGTGAATGGTTTGAGAATTAGTAAAAGAAGCAAGAAGGTTATATGAGATAGAACCTTTTCACACAGCTAGTGGTTCTAGAATGCAGTGCCAGTGAGCTTGGTGGAGGTAGGTTCAACGGATGCATTCAAATGATGAATTAGACGGTTATTTGAAAAGAAACAATGTGCAGAGTTATGGGAGAAGGCAAAAGGATGGCACTACGTGATGAAGGGCTCATTCAGTGCACCGGTTCAACATGATGGGCCAAAATGGACCTCCTCCTATGTTGTATGAATTCACTGATTCCAATGGGCAGATTGGTTGAATGCCACTTTCATAGAATCCCTACAGTGTGGAAACAGGCCCTTCGGCCCAACAAGTCCACACCGACTCTCAGAGCATCCCACCCAGACCCATTCCCCTATAACCCACCTAATCGACACAGCCCTGAACACTACAGACAATTTAGCATGGCCAATCCACCTAGCCTGCATATCTTTGGACTGTGGGAGGAAACTGGAGCACCCAGAGGAAACCCACGCAGACACGGGCAGAATGTGCAAACTCCACACAGACAGTCACCCGAGGGTGGGATCGAACCCAGGTCCCTGGCACTGTGAGGCAGCAGTGCTAACCACCGTGCCGCCCGATTATCTGTTGTGGCCACATCCTGAGCACAAAACAGAAAGCAGATCCACTCTCTCCAGCTGAAGGAAGGCAAAAGTAGATGGGTGTAAAGTAAAGTCTGCTACTCCTTTAAATAGCTTGATTCATTTCAATAGTCTAACAGAAGCCTTGCTGTGATCTCAAGTTATGATGCAATGGATTTCACTGGTGGTCCACTCTAGAAATAAGCAATTAACTGTAGCCCATTGCTACTAACATAATGCATTACAGACAATGACAGAATAGCTGCTGACTGCTGAATTACAGGTGTGTAATATTCCAAATTGTCTGGATCAGTCGACAGTCTGTGGATGTGGATGATCCAAAACTAACAGTGGATCCAATGCAGCTGCAACTCATTCATCAACTACTTTTCAGGCTTTCGGGGCAAGCGCAAGCTTGATGCATACAAACAAGAGACCAAATCCTGAGAGATATTGGTGCAAAGTACAGCTGAAGGCAACACAGATGGATAACAGGGCTATTAAAGCTCCACAAACAAATGTACAACTGCATTTCGTATGGCTGCTCTTCCAGAGAACAGAATACCTTTGTAATGCACAACTTTACTGCTGAGAACATGTTAATACCGAGAAAACCTTTTTTTCCTTTGGAGAGGATGGAGAGTGGTCAGAGAATTCATACAAATGTCGATGCATACTATAATGTAGTGTGTTTGATAACTTAGATTATAGTTGAAAAATAAAAATGTTCTAAGGCCAGAAACAATTACAGGTGAACAGATACAGAGTTAAAGGCTGTTTCAAAACTAAAATGACAGTTCAGTTTTGGAGATAGTAGGAACTGCAGATGCTGGAAAATCCGAGACAACAAGGTGTAGAACTGGATGAACACAGCAGGCCAAGCAGCATCATAGGAACAGGAAGGGTTTTTGGATATGACTTTGAAAGCAAAGAGTAAGTAATAGGTAGCTAAGAGCTCTACTCCTTATGGAGGGGCAAAGGACAGAGCAGTACTGAAGACCAGATATAGAGCAGTAAAGATTTACAAGCTGACAGGAAGTTGCAGAAGTAGGTGGAGCAAAGCTGAGAAGAAATCTGAAAGAAAAAAGGGAATTTTATATAAAATGCATTGGATCAAAGAAAGTCAATTTAAGGCTCATGAGGAGGGGAAGGAACTTGTAAAGGGGATTAGCGTAGGATGGGAGAGAGGTTGCTGCAACGGAGCTTACAAAGAATGGAAATCAACTCCAGAGGTGGGAAAAGCATGTTTCAGTTAGCCAACAAATGGAGGTATAAAATGTTGTGGAAGTGGATATATCCAGCCTTGGTGATGCAGAGGCTGTGGAAATTCAGGTCTGGTTTGAACACGGCACCAGGATCTGGCATATGGGGTTACATACAGCAGACCGATGAAATAAATTCTCCAGTCTGCTGGCTATGAGATATGAAAGGGGATTGGACAGTTTCAATTTCAGTTTCTTTAAGTCAAATACACAAAATTGCACCAAAAATTAGCAGTCCTACTCCAAGAGGCAACAGGATATATGGTATAAAAAAAGGAAAATATTGTTAACATGAGGGATGTCTGAAGCTTGGAAGGACTAGATCTTCACTTTTAATATTATACATCTGAGTCAGATTTTGAAACCAGATACCCAAAATCGAAAGTATTCCATTTCTCAGTATTACCATTCTTCAATCTTTTTTTTTTACGTCATTCATGGGATGAGGACATTGATGGCTAGCATTTATTGCCCATTCCTAATTACTCAGAAGGCAGTTAAGAGTCAACATTATTGCAGTGGGTCTGGAGTCACATGTAGACCAGACCAGGTAAGGATGTCAGTTTCCTTCCCTAAGGTCATTAGTGAACCAGATGGGCTTTTCCTTACAATCGACAATGGAGATCACGGTCATCATCAGACTCTTAATACCAGATTTTTTAAAATAAATTCAAATCCACCATCTGCTATGGCAGGATTCGTACCCAGGTCCTCAGACCTCTGGGTGTCTGGATTAACAGTCAAGCGATAAATACCACTAGGCCATCGCCTCCCCCAAATGATGCGAAATTTCAAAACCAAAACATACTCTCGTGAAGAATAAATTAATTCTCACTGTGATTGCAAATTTCTGGTTCAATGTGAACGCATGCATTAATTCAGAATTTACAAATAACTACCAAAGGAGCCCTTCAGTTTCATTGTTGGAAGTACAAAGTTTGAGTGGTTAAACATTAATTTACAGAACCTACATTTCATAATACCACAAGATAGGACAATCATTTTGAAATATTTTAGGAACTTAATTAATTTAGCGTTTAAAGATAAGTGATAATAGAAATACCAGAACACACATGGTTCATCAGTATCTGAAATTAGAATGACAACAATATCTTCCATATATATCGTATGTTTGGGGGAGAAAAGTTCCAAGGTACTTCATATAAGTAGAATCAAACAAAAATTTAAAGAGATTTTGTCTTGGAGCTTGGAATCGGTGATTGGGGAAGAGATTGTGGATGGAGCTGTGGACAAGGCTCTCCTGTCTTTCCAACGTTAAACTGGAAGAAATTTCAGTTCATCTAGGATGACAACACAAAACCAATGGAGGGATGAATGATCATGGCAGTGGTGAGGTGGAGTTGGTTACAGCATACAAATGAAAATGGTGCTGTAGCTTTAGATGATGGAAGAGATGTGACATGTACAGTTGCTGCAAATTATGCTGAGCTTGAGGATAGATCTGTAGGACCTTGCTAACAGACAAGCAATCTTTGTTAAGCGCTTGTTGTTTCCAATGGGAGGGTGAGGTACAGGAAAATGGGACTATACAGGACTGCAGTTATACCCTAGCATCACCTAAGACGCTGGGCAATGGGAAGCAATGATGTTAGCCCAGGGAAAAGCAATAGCCTTACTGTCAACCAACACAGAAAGGGAAAGTTTACCTATAAATATCTTTTAAAACTAACATCACTATTATACCAGACACCAGAGAGAGAATCTAACAGCTCTAGAGGCCATTCCATCCATCAGGTTTATGCTGGCTCCTTGATCAAGTCCAATTAATCTCACTGTTGCTCTCCTTTTTATTATTTTTATTTTAATTCCAGTTTCCCATTTGGAATTTACTCTGGGATCAGCTCCCAGCTCCCACCCTGGAGCCCAGAGGGATCCTGAGAGGCCTCCTGCCCCACAAACCGGCCCCCGCTCCCCCAGCGGCCGCCGCTTACTTGTTGGTCTGGTGATAGAGCGTCTCCATCCCGGCTGGGAGTCGGGGCCGGGGCCGGGGCCAGGGCCTGAGCTGGAGCCTGTCGCTGTACCGGGGTCGGTGCGGCTGCCTCTCCCGCTCTGTGCCTCTCCCCCCCTCTCTCTCTCTCTCTCTCTCAGGGACACGTCAGCAGCCGCTGCCTCAGGCCTAGGCCCGCACACTACCCTCTCGCTCTCGGGTGTTTCAGCCGCCGGTTCCGGTTCCCCAAGGCCGGGCCGACACTGACAACAGCTTCAGGACCGCCCCCCCCCCCCCCCAAATACCGTGTGAGGAGGAGCCAGGCAGAGAGAAACCGGGGTGGATCCCGATCAGGTACCGGGGTGGACTCCCATTAGATACTGGAGTGGATCCCGATCAGAAACTGGGTGGATCTAGATCAGATACTGGAGTGGAACCCGATTGGAAACCGGAGTGGATTCTGATCAGATACTAGAGTGGATCATGATCAGAAGCTGGGGTGAATCCCGATCAGATGCTGGAATGGATCGTGATCAGAAACCGGGATGGATCCCGATCAGATGCTGGATTGGATCCTGAACAGATGTTGAAGTTGATCTCAATCAAATACAAGAGTGGATCCTGATTAGAAACCAGGATGGAACCCAATAACTGGCCGAGGTGGATCCCAGTCAGAAAACGGGGTGGATCCCAATTAGAAACCAGGGCGGATCCCGATTAGACACAGGAACAGATCCTGATCAAATACTAGAGTGGATCCCATCAGGCACTGGAGTGGATCCTGATCAGAAATCAGGGCGGGTCCTGATCAGAAACCAGGGTGGAATCCGATCAGATACAGGAACAGATCCGATCAGATACAGGAACAGATCCCGATCCGAAACTAGGATGGATCCCGATCAGATATGAATATGAATCCAGATCCGGATCAGAATCTGTAGTGGATCCCAATCAAAAACCGGAGTGCATCCCGATCAGATACTGGAGTGGATACCGATCAGATGCTAGTGTGAATCCAGATCTAGATCAGAAACCGGAGTGGATCTAGATCAGAAACTGGTGTGGATCTGAGTCAGAAACTGGAGTGGATCTAGGTGCAGATTAGAAACCAGAGTGGATCTGGATTTAGGTCAGAATCGGGAGCAGATTCAGATCCACATTGGAAGCTGGAGCAGATTCAGATTGGAAACTGCTGCAAATCTGGATCCACGTCAGAAACTGGAGTAGATTCAGATCCAACCCCCTGGATTAGAAGCTGGGGGAGATCTTGATTCAGATCAGAAACTGAAATAGATCGAAATCAATAAGTGGAGCGGCTCTTGATACAGACCAGAGCTCAAGCAAATTCAGATCAGATCTAGAAGGAGATCAGGATAAGTAAAAGGAGTGAACCAGTGACAGGAACAGGTCAGGATCAGAGGTAGTAGCAAATCCAGATCAGGCATAAGAGTAGACCGGGATCAGACACAGGATCAGATCCAGAGCCAACAATATCTGGATTAGAAAAAGGAGCACATCAGAATCAGAAACAGGAGAAGATCTGAATCCAGTATAGGAGGAGATCTGGATCAGAAACAGGGACTAATTCAGAATGAAACTAGAATAGGTCCAAATCACAGACAGCTGACTGTTTAGCCTCACCATCACTTTTTTAGTGCAAAATCTAGTCTATTAAGACAAATGACCAGAAGTTCAGTCAAAGTGGTAGATTTTAGGAAAGTTCTCATATAAGACACAAAAGGTCTGGTTGGGGAATTCCAGAATGTTGTATTATATTTCAGAAAGCAGTGCTGTGAAGGATACAGTTGAGCCAAACTTTACACAATTTTACAAACATTTATTTACAGCATTACACATGACAAGCAAGCACCTCCTAAACAAAAAGGCACAGTTTTAGCTTGTTCAGTATGATGGCGCAAAAGTGAACCTCTAGTTACTACCCATAGCCTGCACATAATTAAACAAAATTAATATGCACTCAGCACAGAGACAACCTTGACAGTTAAATGCATGGCCAATAATTGTGAAATGAAGGAAGTCACGGATTGTCAAGAAGCCAGAATTAGAGCAGAAAGTAAGACTTGAGAATATTCCACATGTAAATATGCACATATACCAATACTTCCTACCAGTTAATTCCATCACAAATGTTTACAACCAGCTTCCTAATGGGAGACTGCCAATGTATTCTTGTCACACTGTGATTTTATTGAGTCATGCCCCTCCCACTGAAGGGATCATAGGTAGGAGGGTCTAATTAAACCTGCAAGTTTACATTGACACGTTCCATTATACTGGCAGGCATGTGTCATAATAACGCAAATATAACATGCAGAATTGTAATGCCAAGGGGAGAGGGTTAGGGACTCAAAAAAGTGGCATCATGTCAAGAACCTGACATAATAACACCCACTTGCATTTTTATCACTAATGGATTGAGTGGGAGCACAAGTACACATGGAGCTTTCAGGTGAGTAATTAAAATGAGCAAAGAGTGCAGATTTAATTCAGCATTCAGACATTAACTGCAGGAGGATGATCTGTGTAGAACTCCCCAGGGTTAAAGAAGTGAGAAAGTAGTGGGAAACTGAGCTCAATGAAATTGACAGGCTGGGAAGCCTTCAAACAGTGCAATAGATCACTGCAGCCTGGGTGTCCAGGTGAAAGGCTACTGCTCACATCACTTCTGAGGGCTTTTACTGCTAGACCAGTGAATGCATCTGACTTGAACTTAAATTACTTTGATTGGTGTTTCTCTACTCACTACAGTGTGGAAGCAGCCCATTGAGAACACACCAATGCTTCAAAGAGCATCCCACCCAGACCCAACCCTCTCATCCTGCACTTCCCATGGCTAACCCACCTAGGTTGCACACCCCTGAATATTATGGGCAATTTAGCATGGCCAGTCCACCCAACCTGCACATCTTTGGGCTATGGCCGGAAACTGGAGCACCCAGAGGAAACCCACACGTACACTGGGAAAATGTGCAAACATCACACAGACAGTCATCCAAGGGTGAAATCAAACCCAGGTCCCTGGCACTGTGAGGCAGCGGTGCTAACCACTGGACCACTGTCAGTGCTGTAAGTCTTCACCCCAACTAAGGCACAGTGTATACAGCTCCACCTAGAAAAGGAGGAGAAAAGCAGCAGAAGCCTTTTCCACAGTCCAATGCACAGAGCAGAGGTGATAGACTCTGAATTCCAGCTGGGAGGACATAAGATCTAGTCCACCCCCTACTTTCCAAATCAGAGTCAATTGAGCATCTTTTCTCCTTTCCTCTTTCATGAGGTCTAAGTATCACCGGAGAAGCCTGTATTTTTTGACCATCCCTAATTGCATTTGCACTGAGTGGCTAGCCGGGCCATTTCAGAGGACAATTAGTAATCAGTGACTTTGCTTTGGGCCTGGAGTCACATGTAAGCCAGACTGGGTAAGGACAGCAGATTTCCTTCTCTGAAGGTGGGGCTTTACGACAATCGAGGATAGCTTCCTAGGAGGGAACCTCAGGAGGATTAGACTTTCACAGCAGTTTACTGCTGACATCTGCAGCCTCCCAGAACACGACCTCCTTCCCAGGGGGACTAGGTGGGCATGCACTGACAGAGGTCATCAAGGTGACTACTTGTTTCCGGTCTCTCCCTCTTGCCCATGGCAGGAATCTTACTTCCGTTCCTGCAAATCCCACAGCATGACCTTCAGGTAAATCAGAGACTTGAAAGTAAGTGATGTAGATCTCTCTATTCCTTTTTTTTATGCATTCTCTGGCATCAGTGCACAGTTCGAACCCTGCCAGGGTCCCTTTAACTAGAAATCATAACTTGGACAGTTTCTGAATATCAACCTTGGCACCTTCTCTGATTGGTTGGTGAATATGGAAACAGTATGCCATTACCCTGGCTGAGTTAAAGAGCTCACTGACAGAGCAAATGGGTTTACAATCTCCATCCAAGCTGATGTCTGCACTCTACATGGGTCTGTTTGGTTAAAGTTTCATCTGATAGCTAGAAGATTATGGGGGTGAATGACAATTATTCCCACTCTCTCATCTGCTACTGCCAAAAGAAGTGCTTATGAAAGATCGTTTATGGTGCTGTCTGCTTAAGTGGCTTCATTTATCAGGCTCAGTCCCGTGCTGGATTTGCCTGTTATGTTTGGGGTTTTGTTGTGTGTGTTATTTAGAAACAATGCCCATTTGAAGCAGCATCAAGCCTCCCTGTAACAGTTCAATCTTCACCTGTGCCTTAGGGAATATCTTATCTTCCAACCAACTCTAATGCCTTGCTTCCTAAATTAATGACACTTTCTTAATGAATCATAAATAATAACACAAGTTAGCTATTATCAAAATGTATGAGCAATAACATGTTTCTACGATCAAGTCCAATTAATCCACTAGGGAGAGTTGATGTGAAGACTACATTTCTTCCATTGACATTGCCATGAAAGATTAGCTTTCATTTGTAATGAGATACTGTAATCACTTTAAAATTAGAACTACATTTTTTCCAGATATCCTTAGCAAAATAGTGTTGACCTCACACACTGTAGCAATATAAGAAAGAAGGAAATTAAGAGAAAGAAATTACATTTTTAGAGTCCCTTTCACAACCTAAGGATATGCCGAAGTATTTTACACTCAATGAAGTGTGGGGCAAAGAGTGACGAGGAAATGAAGGGTTTGTTAACCAGATGCTAAAATTGGGAATTTAGTGCAAGTGTCAGTTAGGTTTAGAAGAGGAATGGGAACCCTGCTTTTATCCTCATTGATTTACTTCCAGGAATGGTTTCCAGGAACCTTTGATCAGGTTTCAGCCCGAAACATTGACTTTCCCCCTCCTCTGATGCTGTCTGACCTACCATGCTTTTCCAGCTCCCACCTATAGACTCTGGCTTCCTGCATCTACAGCCCTTATTGTCTTTGACTCCCACAATTACCTGGGCTACACATCCTCACACCCTGTTTCCTGTAAGAACTTGATCCCATTCTTCAAGTTTCTCCATCTCCATTGCATCTGTTCTGATGATGCCACATTCCACAGTGGTCCTCAGAACTATCCACTATTTTCCTAAGTTGAGGGCTCCCTATCTCTTTGGTCAACAGGGCCCTTAGCCATGTCATTCCCATTTCCCACATTTCTGCCCTCACCCCTTCCCTCCCACAACAACAAGAGGATCCCCTCTTCATCATTTACCATCCCACCAGCATCAGCATTCCAAACAATGCCACTGCCAAATACGTATTGCCCTCCCTTCCCTTGTCAGCATTCCACATGGACTGTTCCTTCTGAGACACCTTGGTCTATTCCCACTCTTCCTCAGAATAGTTCTGAAGAAGGATCACTGGACCCGATATGTTAACTCTGATTTCTCTTCACAGATGCTGGCAGACCTGCTGAGCTTTTCCAGTGTGTTTCACCCACTCATTGTTCCCATTATCAGCTTTTGTCCTTCCCTGGTTTACCATCAACCATCTTTTATCTTTTGTCTTTCTTTGTCTCCCTCTCTTAGCTCTGTCTCCACCTGTCTACTCACTCCTTTTCCCCTCTCTCCTTGTCGTTAGCATAAATGTTAATATTTCCTAGCTAGTATCAGTTCTAAAGAA